GTCTTCTCAGTATGTAGATCCAAGCCACTACAGCCTAACTCAGGGGAAATCTTCCTAATTGGGAAAGTTTGGGACAGTGCATCTCATCATCTACGTTTCATGATAAAAAGTTGCCTCAGATTAGCATATATAAGGATTCATGGGTAGTTTGGCTAGTTTGATCAAAATCCTAGAAGAAAAAATATTGAGATTAAAGACAAAGATGCCTGGCAGAAGCGAATATATATGAATAAATAGAAGTGGGTATAAAGCATGAAGACCTTTGTATTGAAAGTTAACACCAATCCAAGAGCTCCCACCATGGAGGAGTTACTAATCAACCAAGTAGATAGAATGGCTCAGCGATTTTGACAGCCAGCTGTCATTGGCCAGTCCAACACTGGGACAATGGACATATTAAAAAGCAACAGTGATGACAGAGATAAAGGTTAGGCATGCCCAGCAGCTGGTGGGCACTCACTTTCCACAATGTATCTAGCTACTACTCCCTCTGAATGTTCAACCTGCCAGCAACAAAAAACAACACTGAGCGCTTATGTGCACCATTTCTTAAGGAGACTATCTGTCCACTTGATGGCAAGTTGTCTACCCTGAGCCCCTTCTACCCTGAAAAGCTCTGAGATTGAATCAGATAGGAAGAGACCTTCTAGATATGAATTGCCTTTACTGTCCATAGTGTCTCAGCAAACATCACTACCTAAGAGCTTGTTCTACCTGCACAGGATCTCAATACAGCAGAGTAGACATGAGAGTAGGTCCATGACAAATGGATTCAATGGTCATATCATGTTCATGAAAATGTGGATCCAAGCAATGATGAGTGGATGGTTATGAACATGGAGATTCATTGTCTATACCTCTTCGCAAGAAAGGATTTATGTCTCCAAATGGCCAGGTGCTGTCAGCCCCTTCAGGAATTTTCTCAGCTTCAGAAACCCCACTTCCTGTGGAAGTACACATCCAGCAACTGATCCAGGTATGAGTTAAAAGTTTCAGACAACTCATCACAATGAGTTAGGGCCATTTTAGCTCCAGAGCTCAATCAAGATGACTAAGTCTGGCATCACATATACATCACAGCTCAATTTTCCCTGCCACACTTTATTGCCTTGCCTTTTCTTCTACAATTGTTCATCCCAAGGGCACTGCCTAATAAACATCTATGCTCTAAGCTCCACTTATATGGGTTCCTAGACTGGTCAAATTCTTAGAAAGGTATGTAGAATGTTAGTTACTAGGAGCTGGAAGGAGAGGGGAAAGAGGAATTAGTGTTTAATGGGTCAGAGTTTCAGTTGGGGGAAATAAAAAAGTTCTGGAGAGAAATGACAGTGATGGTTGCACCACAATGCAAATGTACTTAAATGACATAGAATTGTACATTTTAAAATATTATGTATATTTTACCACAATAAAAAAAAAAGAGAGAGAGAGAGGTAGTGAATACAATATGTGAGGAGAAGAAAAGTGGAAATTTCTTGAAATTAATGCTTTGTTTCTATTGCGGAAACCAAGGTGGGCTGATTTGCAAGGAGTGGTGGAGCAACCCTAGTCATGGAAAACTGATAAACGGGATCCAGAGTTTAGAAAGGAAGAATATCTAATAACTATCATCCTGGCCAACAGGATAGGAGAGCCCAAAGACCCAGATGATTATCTTTATGCTGAAATGCAAAGAGAAATAGGCATCTTCGGTCTCTCTCAAAAGGTTCTGTTTCTTCCTCCCAATAGCTTTTCATGGAAGCATGAATTTCATGGGAAATTGCTGGAGAACTGGCTAATGGAAAGGTTTGGATTTGGACTAGGCTGCTTGTCTGCGCAACAATGTCACTGTGGGCTAAGACAAAGGGTCATTAGATTGGAGAGAACTTTCCCCATTTCATAAGAGGAACACTGGCAAGTTGCTAAGATTCACAGGCAATCAATAGGACACAAGAATCAACTAAACTTGCTGGCACAGCAGCCATAGCAACAACCTTGGCAAACCCTCTGCACAGATAGCAACAAGCCACTTCAAAATCACTGGGAGCTGGGCCAAGAGAGGGAACACTGAGACAAGGACTTTGTAAATCTTAAGGATAAACTCCCTACACATGAAAAACAAAGAACAACTTCCAAAGCGTTTTCTTTGATTTCTTTTGATCTCCCTTAATTTAAGAAGCCTGGCCCTAAAGTCTGGAGATCAGGCCCAGTCTTTCAAAGGGAAGGACAAATTGCCCCAAAGTCCTTAACATGCAAGCAGGTCCATTATAACGTGAGATCTGCCTGGAAAGTCCTGTTTTGAACAAAGGATAACATTCAAGAATCTCAGGGACCTTTATATACAGGATCAAAAATAACGTTAATTCTGGTAAACTAGAATATAAGTAGAGAAATCATTTTGACTATTGAAGGATATGGATGTGATAATTGCTGGATACAGAAGACCAAAGACGTTTTCCTGAAGTGATATCTCCTTCCCCTGAGTATGTAATTGCAAGTGATTTATTCCAATTCTAGGAATGGAAAGAACATTCAAAAGGTTAAAGGGTAGGACCCAAACATTTGGGCATACCAAACGGGAGCCTCTAGAACAGCGGTTCTCAACCTGTGGGTCAAACAACCCTTTCACAGCGGTCACCTAAGACCATCCTGCATATCAGATATTTACATTACGATTCATAACAGTAGCAACATTACAGTGATGAAGTAGCAATGAAAATAATTTTATGGTTGGGTCACAACATGAGGAACTGTATTTAAAGGGCCAGAAGGTTGAGAATCACTGCTCTAGAACAACTATATATCACAGTTGCAAATATCAAATATTACCAAAGTGCATTAGGAGTCTACCAAATTACATAACAAGGGTGTTGAAGGAACTGAGAATAACCCCATTTACCACTTACCCCAGATTTGACTAGTCTAAAATAGAGATGAACATTAAATCAACCTTTTAGTAATCCGTGGTCCCTGATGGAGCAAATGCATTTTTTAGATCCCTATTAACTTTGGTCACCAATCTAGTTTGACTTCATTTGGACAGAATCGTACCTTTATTGTCCTACTATAGGGATAAATTCTCTACCACTAGAGAAAATAGGAATTACTTTATCTTGAAGATTATTAAACCATCTTTACTACTTTTTACATTCATAAAACCAAAAGGTTTTAGCTGAAACATTTCTCTCTGTCTCTCTCAGCCTGAATACACTCAAGTAGACACACACACAACTCCCCCAACACATACACATTCCCATGTAGCTTTATTAAAGTTATATGTTAAACTTCCTACCCTCACCCCATATATCACCATTAATTTATTTAAGCAACTGGAGGATGAACAAATAGGAATAACACCAGAGCAGAGCGTTAAAGCCAGTCTTGCCACTCAAAGTGTGGTCCGTGGCCTAGCAGCACCAAGCAGCATCTGGGACAGTGTTAGAAATGCAAAATCTTATCTCCCTCTCCTCCTCCTGAAATATAGATGAATGAATTTGTCCTTTAACAAGACCCTCCAGTTGATTTTGTGGGTCCTTTAAAGTTTGAGAAACACTACTCTACACTAGTGGTTCTCAGAATATGGCCTCCACCCAATAGCATCATTATTACCTGAGAACCTGTTAAAATACAAAGTTTTGGGTCCAACCCAAGACCAACATATCAGAAACTCTTCAGCTTGGGGCCCAGCAATCTGTGTTTTACCAGGACTTGCAGCTTGAGACCAGGTGGCAGCTGCCACCATTATCATTACCATATCCCCAATGATGATTGCTCACCTAACAGTAGTGACACTGACAACTGTTGCCAAAAGCGAACAGACCTCAGAAAGGCCCTTAAGAACCTACAGGATTTGTATCTGCATAGCTTTCTAAACTCATCTGTGCCACTCTCCCAACTGATCACTAAGCTCCAGCCACAAAGCTTTCTTGCCTTTGGGACTCTGCACTCGCTGTCTCCTCTTCTAGTAGGATTCTTATTCTCCATTTCTGGTGTCTGGCTGTCTGGCTCTTTCTTACCCGTTAGGACCCATTAAAAATACCCCCTGTTGAGAGAAGCTTTCTCTGGCTCATTCTATCAAAATGTGTTCTCTTCTCCCTGTGTCTGAACCTTGTTTTCCTCATAGAGCATGTCACAATTCACAATTATGGTATTTGTTAGCTTATTTATTCACCATCTATTTCCTTATTAGACATTAAACTCCATGATGCAGGGCCCATCTGCCTTGATCACCACATTGTGCCTAATAGTATCTTCTGTATAGCAGGCTTCAATGGATATTTACTGGATAAATTATTAAATAGGAGCTATTCCGGAAAAGATACCAGACGCAGATAAGTAGATGGAGCCTTACCATTGTTAGTGGTGGTACCACTAAGATCAATTCTTTCTGTGATCATAGTGGGAAAAGAAATGGTCTTTTCACACTGAATCAAGAAAATACGTCAGTTGTCCATAATGTTTGATAAATTTCAACATTACAAGTTCTCTAAGTACTGAAGGTTTTTTCTAGGGAACTTAAAATTTTGTCATTTAAATGATTATGTTATACAAGTAGAATAACTTTCACCTGAAAAGGAATGAAACCAAAACATAAAAAAAAAAAATGTTTAATTTCCTTTCGAATGTGTGTTGAATTCAATACAAATTGTTAAAGCATTTTTCTAGGTCAAAAGAACCAATGTTACATTTAGAAGGCAAATGGCTGCAAAAAAATATAATCTATGCTCTACTTTATTTTTAAAAAGTAACTCAAGATCTTATTCTATGTTTAATTGTTGTAATAATGATGTCTTCTTTACAGACAAAGATACTACAACAAAATAATGGCACAATAAAGGAATTTTTGTTGTTGTTTTTTCTCTTTGTAATATCTTCATATACCAGTAAAAAATAAACTCTTTAATAAATAAATATATAATAAATATTTGAAAATTGAAAATGTATAAATAGGTCCATCCTTTAAAAAAAATGTTCCATCTTGGTGTGGCATGTTTCATAGTCCACATTACACTCAGGTTTTTTACATAGAATTTTTTACATAACCTGCAAAATCCTTCAAGGTCCTTAAAATATATGTAGCAGTAATCCTGGCCAACCATGTCAATCCATTTCTTCAACATGAAGTATCTATTTTTAATGTAACTTTTAGAGTAAACATATTCCAGAGAGGTGAGGCACCAGAGCAGCAAACTAGGTAGAGTTCCCATTATCCACGTCTTAGAGATTTTCAGCTTCAATCTAGCATTAAGGACTGAGCCAGTGTACGTAAGGGAACTTAATCCACTTATAAAGAGAGATCTTGAGCTATGTCCAGCCAAAGTTTTTTTGTTTGTTCCTAATGTTCTTTCCAAATTCAGTCTCTGAGTGGAAAATAGGCTCTGAAACATTCTGAATGTCTTCCTGGGTTATTATTTTACTCTGGGAACTATAATAAGAAAAAATGGTTGCAGTTTGGTTCTTCAGTAAAGACACGATCACAGTCTAAGTGTATATTAGTATGTCCTTATACAATGCAGGAACTCTTTCTGGATCCACTGGTCTAGGCAGGAAATGCGTAAACTTCTGATGTCTTTTGGACCTGGCACCATCTCTTGGAGTTCCGTCTTTGTTAAGTGCCACAAAATACCTGCGGCCAGTGTCTCCGTGTTTATAAATGTTGGATGAATAGGTATTATACCAGTTCTCTTCAAATTGCTCCCTAAAGATGCATTCAGAAGTCAGTTTCTCCTAAAAGAGAGAAGATAACTGTCATTAAAAAAAAAAGAAAAAAACCTTTGAAAATATTTTTTTAGAAAAATCTCAACTCTCTTTTTAGTTCTTTGCCTATAATTATATCCTTGCCAAGGAAGGAGAAAGATTGAATTGTTTTTACTTTATTTTGCTTTGGTTCTTATGTAACTTGGAATTCTTTCTCCCAGCAGTTAAATTCAAAGAACTTTGTTTCATGTCAATTCTCAATTTTATTTTCAAATACTTAAAAAAATATTCTGAACTTTCTCATGCTCCATTTTATTTCCCTCCTAATACTATCACCAACAAAGAGGCCTGTAGTTTATGTTGTTCCATCATTAGATGCCAAAGTTCTACGTAGAAAATCTCTACTACATCTTGAAACACTTCAGGTTCTTGCTAACATCCAAATTCTTAATTTAAGATCATCACTCCAAACCATATATATTTGCTTTATGAATTTATTAATTTATTACTTGTTGATACATTCCCCATGACTAACTTTGATCTGGATGTTACTTTTAGGTAAATGCAGGAAAAGCCCAGTAACTTCTTGTCTCTTCAAAATGGACTGTATATTATTCTAAGAGTTGATTTTTTTAATACAACATATACATGAAAAAGGGAAATTATGTGCATGCTTTTCTCCTTCAATTGTAATTCTACTCTTGTGATTATTACACATGTAGTATTTCTCTTCTAAACAGACAGCCTGGAAAGAGCAAGGTTTGCTGTTATGAAGGACAGAAATAAGTGGAATGCCACTTACTGAAATATTATAACCAATTTTTTCTGTGTATATGGAGTTTCTAACTGTATATGTGGTCTCAGTTGAGATTTTAAGGGAAAAAAGGTACTAGACAGTACCATCAGCTAAATCATAGCGTAAATTGTCTTTGTAACTTGTTAGAGACTTTGACTTTAAGAAGTGATTTTGGCTTGGCCGGTGTTGCTCAATGGTTGAGCACCAACCATTGAGCCAGGAGGTCATGGTTTAATTCCTGGTCAGGGCACATGCCCACGCTGTGGGCTCCATTGCCAGTGGGGGACATGCCAAAGGCAGCCAATCAATGATTCTCTCATCATTGATGTTTCTCTCTCTCTCTCTCTCCCTCTCCCTTCCTCTCTGAAATCAATAAAAACATATTTTAAAAAATAAAACAAAGACAGCAAGTGATATATACTTAGCTATAGAGGACGATAATGAGTAGAAAATTTTTACATTAAATGAATGTAAAGGCAAAAAGAATCTAACATGGCAGAAAGAAAATGCTCTCATTTTCTTTATCTCTGGTGGGAATGACCAAAATATGAAGAAAAGTAAAAAGACCTAAGATAATGGGCAGGAAAGCCTAGTGAGCTGAAAGCAATACGGGTTTAAGCTTTGGAAAATAAAACTGAGCTACTATACTATTGCTCAGACACATAGAAACATATCAGAACATAAAATTTGTACATAAATATATTTCTTCTTAAATGCATTATTAGTATTTTACTTACAAAATGGATAGTCATTATTTTATGAATTACATAATTTTTTAAAAATACGTACTGATCCATAGAGTTCTCCTTTGTCATTCATTCCAAGGTAGAGACCACTGTCCACACCTCTAATACTGACCAGTCCCACTGCCACACTGATGAATTCCAGGATACCTAAATTCATTAACAAAATAACAATTTGTATTTATTAATGAACATATGACTAATAAAAATCTTCCAAACAGCAGTAGACCAATGTTGCTAGCTATAAATATAATGATGTACATGATAGTCCTATGTAAACTGAAAAGTGCTGTACAACTGACTTAGTCTGATGGCTCTCCTATTTTATAGATGGGAAAAAAACTAAAAAGAAAATAATCTCATCATTGTATAATGTTAAGGGTATAACACCTTAAACCAGACAGGCCTGGGTTTGAATGACAGTTCAGGAATTCACTGGCCATTTGAACTATGCAAATCATTTGTCTTCTTTGAGCTTCAGTTTCCTCATATGCAAATTAAGGGAAATGCCTCCCTACAAGAGAGAGGTAAGAACTAGCACACACATTAGGCATTCTACAAGTGGAAGCTATTGTGATCATAAATTACTATATAATAGAGGTGTTCTTAGCTCTCTGTGATCTCATTAGTTAATTATAACCATGTTCTATTAATTATGCCTTTGTGGGGTTTTTATTGCTGTTTTGTTGTTGTTGTTGTTGTTGTTGTTGTGCCTTTGTGGGGTTTTTGTTGTTGTTTGTTGTTGTTGTTGTTGTTTTGCTTACCATGAGTCAAGTCAATCTTTTTCTAGCTGCAACCAGTATAACTTATACAGCTATGTTGGTATTTTATATTTTATTGAGAATCTTCTATTTACATTTTCTATCTGGTCCTCCAAAACAGCCCTCCAGCATAGGTATGGAGATATTATCATCCCATTTACATATAAAGAAACTGAGGCTCGGGGAGGTTTACTGACTTGCCTAAGGACATGACATTTGTGATCAATAGAGCCCATACTTGAACTCACACTTCTGAACCTTAATCCAATGCTTCTACCTGAGAACACTGTTTCTTGAATGCAATTCAGTAGTTTCAAACTTTATAGATCCTATAATATGCTATTTTCTGTCACATGATTTTTAAAAGTAAATTTTATAGTTCAAAGAACTATAATTCATTAAATGTGATAGCCAAATACCAAGAATTTAGCATGCAAATCAATTTTCTATTAATAACTTTCTAGAATTACTTTCATTTACCAGAAGGTAAACTAGTGTTAAAAACTCTCCACTTAATACACTAAAATACCATAGTAAAGAAAAACAACAACAAAACACCACAAAACTTAATGTTTATGTCTGCAACATGCTTTTTCTAACCTTTGGACTAATGTCTTTGTCTTGTTCTTCCTCTTAGATTTTGCAAGTATATAGACATACTTTCTGTACTTGGGACTTCCTTCCTCAATAGCTTTCTACCTTTACCCATTCACCCCCTCTTAAGCTCTACAAACAGTGTAAATGTGCACCATTTAGTCTGAGTCTTGCTTTTAAGTCATTTTTTTTATTGTGCAAGTTTCTATTTGGACACATGATATTCCCAAGTCCAGGGGAAAGTACAAAATCTAGTTATTTGCCTATACGGAGGGCTCTACTCTGTCCAGAGCCTACTTCATTCTTTGGCAAAAACGCAGATTCTTAAGCTTTAATGTAGATTCTTAAGAGCCCAAAATGAATGTTTTCAAACTATTAGAAGATCATGTAGAATACTAGAGCTATCAAGGATCTTACAGCAACAATACATTACTAAATAGTCTATAGTGGCTTAAAAGAGTCAGTGTCCCTAAGGCAGAGAGAAGAGAAGATATAGCAGGAAGATGCAGACTCCATAGAACAGCTATTATAATGACAACTTTAGAGGTAGGGAGTAAATGGCAATTAAATTTGCTGTCAGGCTCATTAATGATGGATTCATATTAGAAATAAAAATATCGGGCCAAATCATGTTGGTAGAAGTAGATACGTTAATGAAATTTCATCCAGGATACACTTACAAATGTGTAATTATTGAAGTTGTATTGAATGTTAAATTTACATTGAAAAGGATACTCTGGCTCACGTGTAACTTAATTTTCTTTAAGTGTCTGCTTTACATTAAGATGCTCCTGTCTTTCAAAGAACAGGAACTGATTAACTGATTAGGATGCATAATAGAGCCAGTTTTCAAATCCAATAAAATGTTTCATTTGCATATAGACCAATTATATAACAGATCTTATATTCATTTTTCTTGCAAAACTAAAACCACCTATTCTTTAATTCTCATCTTAAGATATTGCTATCTTGTCAAAAATATGAAATTGTGGAAAGATAAAAATTACACATATTCTTAAAATAATTCTATTAGATAGTTTCAACTTTATTAAATAACATCCAAAACTTCATACATAACCAGGTATAAATAATTTTGTAATGGCTCATAGGGTTGATGGGAAAAGGGATATGTGTGGGTTTTTTTGTGTGTTCCTCTTAAAGATTTTAGCCACACTTTTTAATTCTGATCCTTTTTCTCCTCAAGGAAATAGTATACCACCTAGTAATTTGTAGTCATTAGATTCTTAAATGAGATCTGACAAGTCTTTTTTTATTTATAATATGAGGTGGCAACTAAGCTAATTCCTTCACAAAGAGTAGACATGAAAAACTTTCCTTAAGAGGTAATCGCAGATTTTAGATAGATTTTCTAATGCCCAGTGTCCCATAAAAAGACTTGGAGGTACTTTGTCTTTCTGGTATCATTTTCAAAGCCAGCCTTCTTTAAAATCATAATAAACAGGTGAGTCAACCCACAATGCAACCACATCAGACAAATCTATGGAAAATAGGGGAGAATAAAGGAAAAGCCTCTAAAGAAATATGTTTGATCTCAGTTAAGCTCTTTTTAAAGTAATGATTCCATGTTTAGGTATTAGGTAAACTCCTACTGTGCAGAGAAACTCTATTATAAGTATAGAGCTAACTCCAATAGGAAATTATTTTAACCTCACTGGGACCTTTCTGCTATTGATGTGGTTTTGCAATTTTAAAATCGAGAATTCTGATTTTTTTACTTAATTGTGACCAAATCAGTATAAATTATCAAACATGTTAATTTACTTTAACATCTGAAATATCCAATCTTAAGCTTTTTCAAAATTAGTTTTTTGATGACACAGAAATGAGTTTTTAAAAAAAGTAGCAAAATAATTTCATAATTAGGAATTAAAACCCTAGGAAAAGAAGGCAAGTAGCGAAAGAAACATATAAAATTATACATGCTAAACATAAGTTTCTTCTCACCTACACTCCTTTGTAGTAAATTATGATGTCTTAGCTATCAGAGGCCACTAGGAGGCACTGTAATGCATTGTAGAGTCTGTTCATTCTAGGCTACCAGACCAATCTGGTTATCTTCTCTTTGTGACAGTAAATATTTTATTCTGATAAGTAGCCTCCCACCATAGAGTGACAAACGAGCACAAAAATCAGTCAAAGTCATATTTTTGCAATTACTAAACAATTACTCAAAAATTTAGCAAAAAAAAAAAATTACCCTAAGATAGTAATTCTGATATGCAATCTTCATTTCTTGAGGAATGGATTTAAATACCAGTTTAATGAGTGTTATCAAGTCTACAAATATTTACTCAAAGAAGCAACTCTTGTCATTGGGGAGATTACATGAATTGCAAGTGTTCCCAAGGCTACGTTATGTATCAGAGGGGGAAGTCTGAATATTACCTAAGCTTAGCTTCCACCTGCTCTACTTATAAGCCTTAATACATTTGTGTTCATTTCTAAACCTCCTGGTAGCTGCAGGGTTTTTCTGTCATGAATGAAGTGCAACAATTCTTAGAGGTGAGAGAGCTGAGCCACCTGGTGTCACCAAAGTTCATGAGAATCAGAATCTCAGGCTCTTCCATTTAGAACCCACTTTCCAAAAGTGACCCCAAGGTTGGCCACTAGGTCATGACACGTTTGACTCATAGTCACTGGGAATTCGGAAGAGATCAGCGGGAGCTGCAAACATACGGGTTTTAAAAAGTTCATTTTCTAGGCCTTGGAGTGCTACCAAATGACCACCCCATGCTCATTTCTACACTGAGAGTGACAAACGCCACTCAGCCCAAGATTTCCACTTCTCCAAAGTTTTAATGAGTACTAGGGCCAAAAAGGGAATGAGAGTAAAACAAGGAGATTAGAACAAGGTAAGAGAAGGCCATTTAGAGAAGAGATTCTCAGAGAATCCTACAGTGCTGAGGAAGGTGAGGGAAACCTGATCCCGTGTTGGGCCCCTTCGCATTGCTGCTGACCAGTAAATGGTATCTTTGAGAGAAAAACAACAACAGTGAATCTCTCCAATGATGTCCCAAATTTGATGATCAAACCCTTTGAGAGTGCTAGGCAGTTAACTCTAATATGATGAACAGTTCTGCAATGGGGGGAAAGGTCCCGGGGTGTCAGAACCTGAAAGCGTCTTAAAGCGATCACCTATTCAATCCCATCCTTGTACAATCAAGAAAACCACGGCTCAAACTGGTGCGGGCACTTGCTAGTTGGGGAGGAATTAACAGCAGAGACGTTCTGATTTCCCAGTCTAGTGACTTAAGGATCTGCCTTCACAATCGCCCACTTGTTTCTTTCCCTTAACCCCTGCGGCTCCCAGCGCCGCGGAGGTATTCTGAAACCTGTCCCTGGGTGTTCCCACCCATATCTTCTTTCGCTTCCCCACTTCCTCTTACGTGCGGTCAACACCGAGATCTTTGCTTTGGGGTTTCGCAGTTTGTAAAGAGGAGCCTAGCGGAAGGACTGGGCATGCTCAGTAGCCATAGGCGCTCGCTCTCTCTCTCTCTCTCTCTCTCTCTCTCTCTCTCTCTCTCTCTCTCTCTCTCTCTCTCTCTCTCAAATAGCACTTTTAAACGCGCAGAGGACTGCTGCCAGGTGAGCCTGACAGGAGCGACGGTGCCCACGGAAAGTCCACCTGCTGCCTCTGCAGGTGGGCACTCGCTGTGCTCTCGGTGGGCAGGTAAATGCTCGCACCCGCACAAGAGCAGAGCAGCCCTGAGTGCTAACTGCAGGGTGTGTTAAAGAAGCGAATGCTTCCTGTTCCTACTTTTTGCTGATAAAACGGTGGGGGGCGGGGGGGTGGAACGTGACAGGAAGTGGGAGGAAATAGTGTGGGGATTTTAAAAACAAAAACAAACAACTGCCTGCGAGGTAGGCGGTGCGAGGGAGACCCAGGCAGCAGAAGGGCTGGGAGTAACGCGCGCGCGGAGCCCCCCCTTTTCCCCCTCCCGCCCGGGCTTCCGGAGCCGCGGGCCCGACCTCAGTTAGAGGACCAGCCCTCGGGGGTCCCCGCGCTGCTCCCTCGAGAGCCAGCCCCGTCTCCCTGCGCCGGCGAGGAGGGCGGCGGCCGGGTGCGCAGAGGAGCCGGGCGGGGGCGCAGGTACCTACCGAAGAGGCTGTGGTCCTGCCGGGTGCCCCGCACGCTGCCGTCGGGCAGGATCTGCAGGTGGAAGCCGGTGCGGCAGTAGAGCTGCCGGCGGCGCAGGATGCCGTGCAGGTGCGCCAGCTCCGCGCCCCCCGGCCCGCGGGCGCCCCGCTCCGCCGCGCCCCGCCGCTCGCCCAGCAGCGGCGGCCGCTCCCCGGCGGGGGGCAGCAGGAAGTGCGAGCCCACCTGCTGGCCCAGGCCCTCCAGGCCCCCCAAGAGGCCCCCCACTTCGGCTAAGGGAGCCATGGGTGGAGGGGTCAGAGGGAGAGGCGGAGGATCGGCCGAGCAAAAGACGCCCAATAAAAAGGACAGCTGGGGTGGGAGGGGAGTGAAGAAAAACGATAGCGAACGGAGCGCAGAAAGTTCGGACCCGGCTACTCCTGCGGGGTCGCGGGATGAACTTGGCGCTGCGGGGGCTGGGAAGCGGCCGCTGGCTCGGCGCGATCCTCTCTCCGTGGGCAGGTGGGAGCGGGCTGCGGGCCTCGCAGAAGCATCTAGGGCTGCGGCTGCCGGCACTGGGGCAGGGGGCAGGGGCGCCCGCTCCGCAAGCCGATCAGAGCCGTCCTGTGTCCATACACGCCGAGTATATAAGCGGGTCCTCTTGACATATGCTAATCGAGTCCTTTCAAGCGCGCTGGGGAGGTTCTGTTTGAAATCTTAAACCGGCCTCCTCTCAACACGTTTTCGCTCTTCGGAAGTGACCAAAGGGGGCCCTGGACGCTTCTCTGTCCGTGCAATCGCCAAAAGCATTCCCACACGTGGCCAGAGCCGGCCAGCAGCTTCGGGGAGGCGCAGTCAAGGCCCCTCTTTGGGGCTGGCTGTCTTGGGAACAACCTTGATGCAGCTCCGCCGCTGCTGTGCAACGGCCTTTGATGTGCGCTCCTCTGCAGTGATAGATGGCTGCTAAAAGGAGCCCAGCTTGGCAGGTATATAGGAGAAGGGGAAGTGGGGCGGGAGGGGAGGCCGGGAGGGGGAGGGGGAGGGGGAGCAGAGGGAAAGGAGAGGAGAGGAGGCGAATTGGACTCCTCCGGAGCTGCTGGGAGAGCCTGCAGTGGACAGGTGCAAAGAAAGGTAAGAGAGGGAAAAGGGAAAAAGGGCGTTACCTGAGGCTTAGACCTGCCCAGACACACATGAAAGGAGAATCAAAGCTTTGACAGTTTAACTCGCTAATTTTAAAACACTAATAAAATGTACAAGCATTACTCTTTTCTTTTATCATTTAGATGGGGGATTTTCTTTACATAATCAGGGTTAGGTTAGAAACACACGGGCTCTCCCTTCCCAGGCCCTCTTTAATGTTAATCGTTACTCAGCACATGATATAACCAAGATTGTCTTATAGCTACCTGGAAGTTTTACATTGTGTGCTAAGGTCATGAACTGTTAACCAATATAATATAATAATATAATAAATCCTGAGTCTAGGGATTATGAGTAAATCCAAATAGGCGGGAAAAAGGTAGCGTTCATCCTTATATTTGCCACGAATAGAAAATGAGTATCTGTAATAGTGTCATATGTAATGAGTCGCCTCCCGGGCCCTTCCTAACCCAAGAGCACCCCCCTTTCTTCTTGGTTGCGTTTTCTTTAAGGTTAGATTTTTTTGTTTGCTTTTAATTATAAAAACAGAGTTGATTCTTGACATGTTTTTGAGATATGAAAAGTTACTGGCAAAAAAAATGAAAGAATGCCTGTATGTATTTATTAAATAAAAAATCGTTGAAGTGAAGGAGTTGGATACATCTCCATTTGAACTTATAAACTCTCGGTTTGGACCACTAGTTAAATTCAAGATGTTTCCATTACTATTTTTTCAGTGGTAGAAGCATTGAGAATCCATCTTTTGGGGGATTTATGCTTCCTCTGGGCAAAAAGTTTTAGGGAATCACTAAAGATTAGTTTTCCAGTCGAGTTTCATAGTCTTTTCAGCAAAAGCCTAAACCAGGGAGCGCAAGGGGATGGGATCGCTTTATTTTATTTGGTCTAAAGGGTTGGGGGCTTTTTGCTAATTAATTGGCAGGTGCTTTAAAGCAGGTAAAGTTACACCTTTTCATCACGATGGCCCTAAGTACTGACCCTTGTGCCACCAAGTTATAAAAGAGTCCTTAAAACAAGTGATTTACTGTTGATAGATATGAAATAAAACAAAAACACTGGCTAAAAACAATAAACAGATAAATCACTTTAGAAATGTATACTGCCAAGTCTGTTTTAAAGGTTGTACCAGGTAAATGTCATATTATTTTACCTTTCAAACAGCAGCAGTCTGTCTTGTGGTAGGACCCCCAAATCCACCATAATCAAGATTTCAAAGGACATCTGTGTAAACATTATCACATCAGTGTAAAACACCAACCAATGAGCTTTTACTTTGAACCAAATCTTCTTAATTGCAGTGTTAAATCAAAGAAAGTTAGATCAAAGTTGTGTGAATCTCATAGGGGGATAACTAAAATAGCCAGTACATACATCGAACACTTTTAAAGAAGAGATACTTAAAGGTTTAAAACAAAGATCAAGTACCTTTTAATGAGGTTTGTTTTAAGGTCTAGGTTCTGCACAACATATAATACTATTAATTATTCCACGATGGATATATAACATCGTCACCTGTTCCTTGAGTACTAGTTTGGTACAAAATGAAATATTTTAATTCTATAAAACATTTCCTCACACTTGGAGTCTTGCTGTGCGAGTTACAGCTCTAAGACTGCTTAAGTCTTATATTATTTACATATGCAAAAATATGGGGACATTTTATACGTAGTCACCAAAACCCCAATACTTTAATAATAAAACTACCTTCTCTTTGTGCAGCGTTGGCATTTTCCAGTGCATTGTCTTACTAGTATTTGATCACCACAATAATCCTATGAGATAGGCACATTCCACATTATAAGGGGAAAAAAATTCTTCCGGATTCTAGTTCAGGGTTTAGTCCTACATCCCAGGGCAATGTCCTTAAGCTCTCTGAAGGCCTGTTGTCTCTTTTGTACAATAAGAACAATATAACTCCTGCCTAGTTCACTACATCTAGGATTGCTATGAGTTTTCAATGTGAACTTGTTTAGGAAAGTGTTTTTAAAACTGAAATTTCCCATGCATACAAGATGTTAGACACCTTCAGTTGTTGGGGGGAAATCTGCTTTATAATTTAACAAATGCAATTCATTTGAAATACAAAATAAATCTTTTTTCCCCCAACCAAACCTGTAATGTGTAAGTTTTGAATAGTGCTTAATGCCATTTTATAAAGGGCCAGAATAGAAACAAAAAGATAAGGACTTCTTGTGTTTGCACTAGTCATGTGACAGGAAAAGATAACACTAAAGATTTTTTTTGCACATGCTGTGATGATATCATGGGAAGTTAAATAATTTTGAAGAGTGTTTTACAAGAGTGCATTATTCAACTTTTAAGTATACACTGCAATCTAATCAACTCTACCTATACTTCCTAGAGACCACACTTGCCTTGCTGTTCTACAAATATGTGGTACAATTTCTACTTCCACAAATGTAGTTACAGTTTTCCAGACCATAGAATTTCCTGCTAGCTTTTCAGCAAGCATATTGCCGTGAATTTTTGTTTTACACATGAAAAAAGATGGGTTTTGATACTTCTACATGTGTTTAACTTAAGAAAAAGAAAAAGCTGACTTAAAAGTCATGACTTTTACCCCCATAAATAAAAGTACACTGGCTCACATTTTTTTATTTGTAATTACAAAATATTAGCAACAACATAAATTTCCTTGCATAGGAAACTGATTGAGCACGTTATGATATTTTCACACAGTGGAGCATTATACAGCCGGGAAAAAATGACAAAGATGACTCTAAACTAATATGGAGTATTTCGAGGATATATTCTTAAGTGAAAAGAGCAAAGCTTTAGCATACTTTATGTACAGTGTATTACCTTTTCTATAAGAAAGAAGGAAAATAATAAACTTCTACCTGTGTATGTTCATTTTTTCCCAAAAATAAACATAGATGGAAAAACCAGAAACTAATTGGTTAATTGACTACCTGGGTGAACGTAAGAAGAGAAAGGAAAGTGACACTTCTTTGAGAACAACTTTTTATAGAGTTTTGACTTTTCGAGAAATGGAAAGGTTATAATTTTTTTAAGTAGAATAAAATAAACAAGAATGAGGGGGAAATGGAATGGGACCAGAAACAAATGAACCTAACTGAATTCAAATAAATAACATAACCACACAGAACGTAATAATAATATATATTTTTTAAAAAACTAAGTAACTTTCAAATACAGTTCTTTGGCTATATAATTAAGGTCTAAAGAGAAAAACAAACATAAACATTGAATTTCAGTTACAAAGACTGATTTCCCCAGTGGTAGGGGTTAGATTAGTATATTGTAAGATTGAGCAAATAATGACATACATTGACAATAATGAAAGCTAGGTGTTTCAGTTTTAAAGAATGGAGCTATAGACATGAAAACAGGGTAAGATTAGAATGAATCGTATAGTATGAATTGAAATTGCAGTTATTGGTATGAACGCATAGGGGTGTGTGTGTGTGTGTGTGTGTGTGTGTGTGTGTGTGTGTGTGTTTCATCTTAGTTCTGTCCACTAAAGGGGCCTAGCATCAAGGATACACCACAGACAGTTGAGCACACCTAGCGTCTAGATCTTTAGTTTCTCAATTCAATCTACCATTAATATAACCCATAATTCCTGGAAAATATCTGATTTCAGGACTGGAGCTCCTTTTTCTTTTTGAGACTATTTTTAAGAGCAGTTTTAAGTTCACAGCAAATAAGAGGATACACACTTGCATAGCTTCCCCATCCCCTACCAGGCGGCACATTTGTCACAATTGATGAACCTACATTGACACATCATCACCCAAAGTCCATAGTTTACATGGGGTAACTCTTAGTGTTGTACAGTCTAGGGGTTGTGACAGATGTATAATGATACGTGTCCATCTTTATAGTATTCTTTCACTGCCTTGAAACCCTCTGTGCTCTGCCTATTCATCCTTCCCCCCACCAAACTCATGACACCACTTATGTCTTTACTGTCTCCATAGTTTTGTCTTTTCCAGAATGTCACATAGTTGGAATCATTCCCTTCTTTCACTTAGCAATATGCATCTAACTTTTCTCCATGTCTTTTCATAGCTTAATAGCTAATCACGTTTTAGCACTCAATACTATTCTATTGTCCAGATGTACCACAGTTTACTTATTCACCTGCTGAAGGACATATTGGTTGCTTCCAAGTTTTAGTAATTATTAATAAAACTATAAATTTCCATGTGC